CACGCTAGCTGGAGATTCGTCTGTAAAAACTTGCATTTGTGGTCACAGTGGTGCCTTTGCTAACCTTCCTATGGTGTAGAAATATACCTAGTTGGATGAATCTTATTGTGGCTAGCTGGTCTAGTGGCTAACGCGACGGGCTGGAGTTTTGAGACTCTATGACCGCGGGTTCAATCCCGGCCGGGGGTATGGTTTGTTTGCAATCGTGTCATTACGATTTCTTGAGTCATGCTGCAGCAGTTATCTGATTGATGTGCGCCTCAGGAGATATGCTCGGTGTTATACTCACCCCCAGATCTTTTTCCTTGAGTGAGGTTTGCAGACATTGGCCATCTAAACTATATTGTGTCTGCGGTCTTCTTTGCAAGCCCCAATCTTCATGACTTTGCATTTGGCGGGGTTAAACTCAAGGAGCCAGTTGCTGGACCAGGCTTGTAGCCTGTCCAGGTCTCTTTGTAGTCCTGCCTGATCCTCATCCGATTTGATTCTTCTCATTAACTTCACATCGTCCGCAAACAAGGACACTTCTGAGTCTATCCCTTCCGTTATGTCATGTGTGTGTGTGTGTGTGTGTGTGTGTGTGTGTGTGTGTGTGTGTGTGTGTGTGTGTTTTGTGTGTATGGATGTGTTGTGTGTGCGTCAGTGTAAGGAAGTTCTAGCCATCACGCGAAACCTCAAGTCTACATTAATGCCTCTAAAACTACCACAATCACCACAAACTACCACAATCAATGCAACTACTACTACTACTAACATTGTGCAAGAGAGAGGACAGAGAGAGAGAGAGAGAGAGAGAGAGAGAGAGAGAGAGAGAGAGAGAGAGAGAGAGAGAGAGAGAGAGAGAGAGAGAGAGAGAGAGAGAGAGAGAGAGAGAGAGGCGTGAAGGAGTGTGGCTGCCAGTGTAAACAACTGGAGTAGACACGTGACCTTCTGCTCTCCATCTTGCTAATCCGGACTCCATCTTACTAATCCGGATTCCATCTTGCTAATCCGAAATCCACCACCTCGCTAACCCGGTCTTCACCTCGGAGTTGCTAGATACTTGATGTCAGAAACTGTGCAGCAGTACTCAGGCAAGGAGAAACAGACAGACAGACACAGTGAAAGAGAGGCAGCCTTGTGTTTGTGTGAGTGTGTGTGTGTGTGTGTGGTGTGTGTGGTGTGTGTGGTGTGTGTGTGTGTGTGGTGTGTGTGTGGTGTGTGTGGGTGTGTGTTGTGGTGTGTGTGGTGTGTGTGTGTGTGTGTGGTGTGTGTGGTGTGGTGTGTGTGTGTGTGTGTGGTGTGTGTTGGTGTGTGTGTGTGGTGTGTGTGTGTGTGTGTGTGTGTGGTGTGTGGTGTGTGTGTGTGTGTGGTGTGTGTGTGTGTGTGTGTGTGTGTGTGGTGTGTGTGTGTTGGTGTGTGTGTGTGTGTGTGTGTGTGTGGTGTGTGTGTGTGTGTGTGGTGTGTGGTGTGTGTGTGTGTGGTGTGTGGTGTGTGTGTGGTGTGTGTGTGGTGTGTGTGGTGTGTGTGGTGTGTGTGTGTGTGTGTGTGTGTGTGTGTTGTTGGTGTGTTGTGTGTGTGTGTGTGGTGTGTGTGGTTGTGTGTGTGTGTTTGTGGGTTGTGTATGTGTGTGTGTGTGTGTGTGTGTGTGTGTGTGTGTTTGTTGTGTGTGTGTGTTTTTGTGTGTGTGTGTGTGTGTGTGTGTGTGTGGTGTGTGTGGTGTGTGTGGTGTGTGTGGTGTGTGTGGTGTGTGTGTGTGTGTGTGTGTGTGTGTGTGTGTGTGTGTGTGTGTGTGTGTGTGTGTGTGTGTATGTTTGTGTGTGTGTGTAGAAACAGTTAAGAAATTAAGTCAGTGGTAACGTGACGAGCCTGGCCCAAGGCCGGGCTCCGGGAGAAGTCTAGAACTCATCAGTGACAATATTTACACCTCTTGTGTTCCATGGCCTGGAGAAGTACGAGTAGAAAGAGTGAAACATGATAATATATATATGGAAGATACTGGCGGTCCTAGTCGCAGATCTGCTCACTGCCATAATAACGTACTGGAGGGAGAGATGTGAGAGGAAGTGCAAAATAACATCAATTATAACGAGGGACACCATGGGCATAATACCAGAACAATGTGTCAACATCCTGGTATCTGCAGGTATCGGAAACATTACTGGAACCATGGTAGAGAAGTCTTCGAAAGAACACAGGATCACTACCTCCACAGTGTGCTAGATCAACCAGTTTTAGTGGGACTCCACCTTGGTAACCCGGACTCCATCTTGCTAATTCGGACTACACTTCACTCTTCCCAATTCCAGCTCACTGGTGATTGGCCCGTCATGTTGATGGTGGTTGAGGTACTCAGCAAATGAGGTGGTTGGCGGTGGTATGTTGGTCATGCAAATTTCTTGACGTGGGCCTTAGTTGATGACCCGTCCAGGTGTTTAGCAGCCACTGGTGTACCTAGGCTAGATTTTGGTTCATATAGTCCACCATGAAGCTTAGTTTGGGACCGGGCTGCGGAAGGGGGGGGGCGTTGACCCAGGAAAACGTCCTTTAGGCACCCTTCAAGAGCTAGCCTAGCACTTGCAATTAGGTTAGGTCGTGGAGTTATAGCCTAGCTTAATTACTCCAAGCACTAAATTAATTGTTGAGAACTAGACTAGTGACTAGACTAGCTCTTAGGTCGTGGAGTGATAGCCTAGTTTAATTACTCCAGGCACTAAATTGTTAAGAACTAGACTAGTGACCTAGGCAAGCCTAGCTCTTAAAATTAGGCTAGGTCGTGGAGTGAGTATCCTAGCCTGATCACTCCATGTGGAAAAATACACTTATGTACAGTTCAGACAAGTGAAGTACCAGCAGTAGCAACACTCATAGCAAGAGGCATTCTTGAGCTTTCCCAGCGCTCGGGCCTCAGCCCAAAGCTGGGGTGCGACTCCAAAAGGATCCTGTAGTGCTTGCTGCCCATGCACCTCCTGACACCGTCTGCTGCTATTCAGCTGCCACACCCTTCGAGCCCAGTGTGAGCGGGGTTTGGGGCCCTTCAGTCCTAATACAGAGATAACTGAGAAACGAGTATATATAGTGGCAGGAATCAAGACACAGCACTAATGGACGTTGCTAAGAGACCATTTTTTTTTATAATTCATACACTAACCCAGGGTTCGACGAACTTTTTGTTGTATTATCCCAAAACAAATTTGTGTACAGCGAAATTACCCACTAGACTTGGAAGTCCCCAGAATCCGGAGAAGCAAAAGCAGCATTGCCAACTAAGAAATGGTCCCTACAAATTAGATTTTTAATTCTGTTAAACTACAAATTGTTTGAAAAAATGTAACTTTTTCGTAATCTGCCTCGTTTAATAAATATTTTTTTTGTGCAGATTTATATATATGTTTATTGAGCCCTTGATTACCCCACGAGATTTTCATTTTTACCCCATTTGGGTAATTTACCTCAGTTCCCCGACCCATGCACTAACCTATTCATTACATTAAAGTTCCTTGATGTGGCTTCAACTACGTAATAGTCGATCTTTTTCTCTCTCAGATCGTAAAAGATGAATATTAATAAAAAAATTGTTATGAGGGAGTGAGGGAGGATTTATAAGATTATGGCTGTATACTGGAGGCTACCGTGTATGTAGCCTTCATACCTTGTAGCCCTGATACCTTGTAGCCCTGATACCTTGTAGCCCTGATACCTTGTAGCCCTGATACCTTGTAGCCCTGATACCTTGTAGCCCTGATACCTTGTAGCCCTGATACCTTGTAGCCCTGATACCTTGTAGCCCTGATACCTTGTAGCCCTGATACCTTGTAGCCCTGATACCTTGTAGCCCTGATACCTTGTAGCCCTGATACCTTGTAGCCCTGATACCTTGTAGCGCTGATACCTTGTAGCCCTGATACCTTGTAGCGCTGATACCTTGTAGCCCTGATACCTTGTAGCCTGATACCTTGTAGCCTGATACCTTGTAGCCCTGATACCGTGTAGCCCTGATACCTTGTAGCCCTGATACCTTGTAGCCCTGATACCTTGTAGCCCTGATACCTTGTAGCCCTGATACCTTGTAGCCCTGATACCTTGTAGCCTGATACCTTGTAGCCTGATCTTGTAGCCCTGATACCTTGTAGCCCTGATACCTCGTAGCCCTGATACCTCGTAGCCCTGATACCTTGTAGCCCTGATACCTTGTAGCCCTGATACCTTGTAGCCCTGATACCTTGTAGCCCTGATACCTTGTAGCCCTGATACATTGTAGCCCTGATACATTGTAGCCCTGATACCTCGTAGCCCTGATACCTCGTAGCCCTGATACCTTGTAGCCCTGATACCTTGTAGCCCTGATACCTTGTAGCCCTGATACCTTGTAGCCCTGATACCTTGTAGCCCTGATACCTTGTAGCCCTGATACCTTGTAGCCCTGATACCTTGTAGCCCTGATACCTTGTAGCCCTGATACCTTGTAGCCCTGATACCTTGTAGCCCTGATACCTTGTAGCCCTGATACCTTGTAGCCCTGATACCTTGTAGCCCTGATACCTTGTAGCCCTGATACCTTGTAGCCCTGATACCTCGTAGCCCTGATACCTCGTAGCCCTGATACCTCGTAGCCCTGATACCTCGTAGCCCTGATACCTTGTAGCCCTGATACCTTGTAGCCCTGATACCTTGTAGCCCTGATACCTTGTAGCCCTGATACCTTGTAGCCCTGATACCTTGTAGCCCTGATACCTTGTAGCCCTGATACCTTGTAGCCCTGATACCTTGAATATAACATGTTTCTATATCTCGTGTATGTATATCATACGTAGTAAGGGGCGGATCTACTATGATTCGGTTTTTTGCTCAGTGCAGTCTTCAGGGTCCTAAAAATGTAGGTCCGCCGCTGTGTAGGTAGGCATGATATATATGCTTGCATGAGAAGGACTGGGATTGATTAGTACCTGGAGTTTTGAAGCTAATTCCTGGGAAGCTTTGGGAAAAGATTGGACAAGTGGGTGGGTGGGAATGGCTTGCCTATGGACACAAATGGACACAAGAGCTTGTCTATGGACACAAGAGCTTGTCTATGGACACAAGAGCTTGTCTATGGACACAAGAGCTTGTCTATGGACACAAGAGTTTGTCTATGGACACAAGAGTTTGTCTATGGACACAAGAGCTTGTCTATGGGACACAAGAGCTTGTCTATGGACACAAGAGTTTGTCTATGGACACAAGAGCTTGTCTATGGACACAAGAGTTTGTCTATGGACACAAGAGCTTGTCTATGGACACAAGAGTTTGTCTATGGACACAAGAGCTTGTCTATGGACACAAGAGCTTGTCTATGGACACAAGAGTTTGTCTATGGACACAAGAGCTTGTCTATGGACACAAGAGCTTGTCTATGGACACAAGAGTTTGTCTATGGACACTAGAGCTTGTCTATGGACACAAATGCAGCATTACACAATTCCTCTATTGACTACATTTCGCCCACACATTGAGCTTTATCAAGTCACAAGCAGATCTGTTTGTGAGTTGATAAGTCCCACTGTGTGGGCGAAACGTTGTCAATAAATGATCGTACAATGCTTCATTTGTCTTTATTTTATCATTTATCCCCAACTACTTGCCTAATCTGGGCCAGTATGCCTTCTGCAGTGTCCCTAATCCACTCTTATGTATATGTTTGGCTCGCAACACAATTGTTCTCAAAGATTTGTTAAGTTATACCGTGAATTAAGGAGAGACCTGGACTTCACCTTACGAAAGAATATTAATCAAATGCGGTAGTAATTATCGACAAGTTAGATTATAGTGGGAAATGAACGTGATATTAGGATACAGGGAAACTCAGGCGCCTCTTTAAGACTCCCCACTACGTAATTGAACTCCAGGCTGCTGCGCCACTAACCATCTCAGCTTCACGCAAAAACACTCGTGAACTCCAGGCTGCTGCGCCACTAACCATCTCAGCTTCACGCAAAAACACTCGTGAACTCCAGGCTGGTGCGCCACTAACCATCTCAGCTTCACACAGAAAAACTCGTGACTTTTGAGAAGTGTATATCGCAAGAACCAAAGGGAAGAAATATGTCAGTCAGCTCCTGGTACTTGAGAGGAGAGCTGGTAACCTCTACCCTCCCCCGTCCTGCTTCTCACTGCTTAGTAATTATCTATTTGTAACTAGAGGAGGAGAGCTGTACCTTTGGTGTCCTGTCTTCAGTACTGAAGACGGGACACCAGATATATATTATATATATATATATATATATATATATATATATATATATTATATATATATATATATATATATATATATATATTATATATAATGTTGTGCCGAATAGGTAAAGCTTGCTATTTTGGCTTAAATAGCAATGCTCTTCTTGCCGAGTAAGGCAAGCTAAAATTTGTGTATGCAATAATTTCGCAAAAATCATTCTGAACGTAACGGAAAAAAAGTATATTTCATTGTGTTTGTTTATTATTAAATTATTGTAAACTTATCTAAAATATATTTAGTTGGATTAGACTAAATTAAATTGAGCTTGCTATAATAAGGTCAGGTAAGTTTTCTAAGGTTCTTTTAGTACAAAATTATTAATTTTTATATTAACATAAATGAAAAAATATATCTTTAAAATTTATAAGAGAAAATTTTTAGAAAGGACTTAATTTTGAACGAATTCTTGCTAATTGACCATTATATATATATACGTATTATATATATATATTAAATATATATATATATATATATATATATATATATATATATATATATATATATATATATTATATATATATATATATATATATATATTATAAAATAGTAATAGTAATGACAGCTGCTTCTACTGGTAATGCTTATTGACATTGTACGTGTTACAGGGTGTTGGTAGGGGCGCCGGAAGCTCAGACGTCACAGCCGGAAGTATGGCAGGGCGGGGCAGTGTACCGGTGTCATCCTGCAGTGTCCGGGAGCTGTGAACCCGTCCCCTTTGACCTCACTGGTTAGTGTGACCTCTTCACGTCTGACACCTTATTTTTTTATTTATCCCACTAAGAACGAGGTAATAGGTTAGATAAGGTTTGTCAGGAAACAGAACAAGTGTTTCCTGACGCTGGTCTTCAGGTTAGGTTAGATAAGGTTTGTCAGGAAACAGGACAAGTGTTTCCTGACACTGGTCTTCAGGTTAGGTTAGGTAAGGTTTGTCAGGAAACAGGACAAGTGTTTCCTGACGCTGGTCTTCAGGTTAGGTTAGGTAATGTTTGTCAGGAAACAGGACAAGTGTTTCCTGACGCTGGTCTTCAGGTTAGGTTAGATAAGGTTTGTCAGGAAACAGGACAAGTGTTCCTGACGCTGGTCTCAGGTTAGGTTAGGTAGGTTTGTCAGGAAACAGAACAAGTGTTTCCTGACGCTGGTCTTCAGGTTAGGTTAGATAAGGTTTGTCAGGAAACAGAACAAGTGTTTCCTGACGCTGGTCTTCAGGTTAGGTTAGGTAAGGTTTGTCAGGAAACAGAACAAGTGTTTCCTGACGCTGGTCTTCAGGTTAGGTTAGGTAAAGTTTGTCAGGAAACATGACAAGTGTTTCCTGACGCTGGTCTTCAGGTTAGGTTAGATAAGGTTTGTCAGGAAACAGAACAAGTGTTTCCTGACGCTGGTCTTCAGGGTTAGGTTAGGTAAGGTTTGTCAGTGAAACAGAACAAGTGTTTCCTGACGCTGGTCTTCAGGTTAGGTTAGGTAAGGTTTGTCAGGAAAATGACAAGTGTTTCCTGACGCTGGTCTTCAGGTTAGGTTAGGTAAGGTTTGTCAGGAAACATGACAAGTGTTTCCTGGACGCTGGTCTTCAGGTTAGGTTAGGTAAAGTTTGTCAGGAAACAGGACAAGTGTTTCCTGACGTGGTCTTCAGGTTAGGTTAGGTAATGTTTGTCAGGAAACAGGACAAGTGTTTCCTGACGCTGGTCTTCAGGTTAGGTTAGATAAGGTTTGTCAGGAAACAGGACAAGTGTTTCCTGACGCTGGTCTTCAGGTTAGGTTAGGTAAGGTTTGTCAGGAAACAGAACAAGTGTTTCCTGACGCTGGTCTTCAGGTTAGGTTAGATAAGGTTTGTCAGGAAACAGAACAAGTGTTTCCTGACGCTGGTCTTCAGGTTAGGTTAGGTAAGGTTTGTCAGGAAACAGAACAAGTGTTTCCTGACGCTGGTCTTCAGGTTAGGTTAGGTAAAGTTTGTCAGGAAACATGACAAGTGTTTCCTGACGCTGGTCTTCAGGTTAGGTTAGATAAGGTTTGTCAGGAAACAGAACAAGTGTTTCCTGACGCTGGTCTTCAGGTTAGGTTAGGTAAGGTTTGTCAGGAAACAGAACAAGTGTTTCCTGACGCTGGTCTTCAGGTTAGGTTAGGTAAGGTTTGTCAGGAAACATGACAAGTGTTTCCTGACGCTGGTCTTCAGGTTAGGTTAGGTAAGGTTTGTCAGGAAACATGACAAGTGTTTCCTGACGCTGGTCTTCAGGTTAGGTTAGGTAAAGTTTGTCAGGAAACAGGACAAGTGTTTCCTGACGCTGGTCTTAGTCATATGATGACGCACAGCTAGAGTTCTTGGTCATCTGACCGAGACCTTCTACTGGCTTACCACTCCACTTAAAAATTAAGATTATATAGTTCTAACCCTAGTTCTCTTCCTCCTGGTTGACAGGTAACCACTACGATAACGATAACGGACAACAGATGGATAACAAGAGTATGCAGTGGTTCGGTGCCTCACTGGCCAGCCAGAGCGGCGTTATTGTGGTGAGTAACGTACCAGTTATACACGCTAAACACACTAATATACAGTGTGTTCACTGTATAATTGCAGTGTGTTCCGGGGGTCAATGCCCCCGAGGTCCGGTCCATTACTAGGCCTCGGGGGTCAACGCCCCCGAGGTCCGGTCCATTACTAGGCCTCGGGGGTCAACGCCCCCGAGGTCTGGTCCATTACAAGGCCTCGGGATTTAGAGTTTATGTATAGTAATTCACTATATACAGTAATACACCTTTTATACACAATATTTTAGCATTTATACACAGTAATCCAGCATTTATACAGCGACTTTTAGGGAGTAATCCATGATTTTGTAGAGTAATCCATGATTTGTGGAGAGTAATCCGTGATTTGTGGAGAGTAATCCATGATTTTGTAGAGTAAACCATGATTTGTGGAGAGTAATCCATAATTTGTGGAGAGTAATCCATGATTTGTGGAGAGTAATCCATGATTTGTGGAGAGTAATCCATGATTTTGTAGAGTAATCCATGATTTGTGGAGAGTAATCCATGATTTGTGGAGAGTAATCCATGATTTGTAGAGAGTAATCCATGATTTGAAGAGAGTAATCCATGATTTGTAGAGAGTAATCCATGATTTGTTGAGAGTAATCCATGATTTGTAGAGAGTAATCCATGATTTGTGGAGAGTAATCCATGATTTGAAGAGAGTAATCCATGATTTGTAGAGAGTAATCCATGATTTGTAGAGAGTAATCCATGATTTGTAGAGGATAATCCATGAGCCGAGTGCGCTACCAATCGAGCTACGGGACAGTATATACTACACATGTAATACGGTTGACATTGTGTGACCCCTTACGACTTTACCGCTTACCATTAGATGTGTTAATAGCGGGTTGAGGGAGTTGGTTGCTGGAGTGATGGTGGTTGTTGGAATAGTGATGGTGGTTGTTGGAGTAGTGATGGTGGTTGTTGGAGTAGTGATGGTGGTTGTTGTAGTAGTGATGGTGGTTGTTGTAGTAGTGATGGTGGCTGTTGGAGTAGTGATGGTGGTTTGTTGTAGTGATGGTGGTTGTTGTAGTGATGTTGTAGTAGTGATGGTTGTTGTAGTAGCGATGGTGGTGTTGTAGTGATGGTGGTTGCAGTAGTGATGGTTGTTGTAGTGATGATTGTTGTAGTAGTGACAGTGGCTGTTGGAGTAGTGATGGTGGTTGTTGTAGTGTGGAGGTTGTTGTAGTGATGGTGGTTGTTGTAGTGATGGTTGTAGTAGTGATGGTTGTTGTAGTAGCGATGGTTGTTGTAGTGATGGTGGTTTGTTGTAGTGATGGTTGTAGTAGTGATGGTTGTTTGAGTAGCGATGGTGGTTGTTGTAGTGATGGTGGTTGCAGTAGTGATGGTTGTAGTAGTGATGGTGGTTGTAGTAGCGATGGTGGTTGTTGTAGTGATGGTGGTTGCAGTAGTGATGGTTGTAGTAGTGATGGTTGTTGTAGTAGCGATGGTGGTTGTTGTAGTGATGGTTGTTGCAGTAGTGATGGTTGTTGTAGTGATAGTGGTTGTTGTAGTGATGGTTGTAGTAGTGATGGTTGTTGTAGTGATGGTGGTTGTTGTAGTGATGGTGGTTGTAATGATGGTGGGTTGTTGTAGTGATGGTTGTAGTAGTGATGGTTGTTGTAGTGATGGTTGTTGTAGTGGTGGTGGTTGTTGTAGTGATGGTTGTTGTAGTGATGATTGTTGTAGTGATGGTGGTTGTTGTAGTGGTTGTAGTGATGGTGGTTCTTGTGATGGTGGTGGTTGTAGTAGTGATGGTTGTTGTAGCGATGGTTGTTGTTGTAGTGATGGTGGTGGTTGTAGTGATGATGGTTCTTGTAGTGATGGTGGTTGTGTTGTAATGTGGTTGTTGTAGTGATGGTGATTGTTTGTAGTAGTGATGGTGGTTGTTGTAGTGATGGTGGTGGTTGTAGTAGTAGGTGGTGGTTGTAGTAGTGATGGTTGTTGTAGTGTTGGTTGTTATAGTGATGGTGGTGGTTGTTGTAGTAGCGATGGTGGTTGTTGTAGTAGTGATGGTGGTTGTTTGTTGTGATGGTGGTTGTAGTAGTGATGGTGATTGTTGTAGTAGTGATGGTGGTTGTTGTAGTGATGGTGGTTATTGTATTGTTGTAGTGATGGTGATTGTTGTAGTAGTGATGGTTGTTGTAGTTGTTGGTTGTTATAGTGATGGTGGTGGTTGTTGTAGTAGCGATGGTGGTTGTTGTAGTAGTGATGGTGGTTGTTGTTGTGATGGTGGTTGTAGTAGTGATGGTGGTTCTTGTAATAGTGATGGTGGTTCTTGTAGTGATGGTGGTTGTTGTAGTAGTGATGGTTGTAGTGATGGTGGTGGTTGTAGTAGTGATGGTTGTTGTAGTGATGGTGGTTATTGTATTGTTGTAGTGATGGTGATTGTTGTAGTAGTGATGGTTTTGTAGTGATGGTGGTGGTTGCAGTTGATGGTTGTTGTAGTGATGGTGGTTATTGTTTGTTGTAGTGATGGTGATTGTTGTAGTAGTGATGGTTGTTGTAGTGATGGTGGGTGGTTGTAGTAGTGATGGTTGTTGTAGTGATGGTGGTGGTTGTAGTAGTGATGGTGGTGGTTGTAGTTAGTGATGGTTGTTGTAGTGATGGTGGTGGTTGTAGTAGTGATGGTTGTTGTAAGTGATGGTGGTTATGTATTGTTGTCAGTGATGGTGGTTGTTGTAGTAGTGATGGTTGTTGTGTGATGGTGGTTATTGTATTGTTGTAGTGATGGTGATTGTTGTAGTAGTGAGGTGGTTGTGTAGTAGTGATGGTGTTGTAGTGATGGTGGTTATGTATTGTTGTAGAGATGGTGATTGTTGTAGTAGTGATGGTGGTGTTGTAGTAGTGATGGTATGTTGTAGTGATGGTGGTTGTTGTAGTTGTGATAGTGATTGTTGTAGTGATGGTGGTGGTTGTAGTAGTGATGGTTGTTGTTGTAGTGATGGTTGATGGAGTAGTGATGGTGGTTGATGAAGTAGTGATGGAGAAGTGTATCCACACTACATGTACACTGATAGGTATGTACCTCTCAGTGTATATATACACTGAGATATACACTTGTCAGCGTATATACACTGAGAGATATACACTTCTCAGTGTATATACAAAGGAATACACACGTGTTGACGTGGATAAGTTAGAGTGTATTAATGTAGCCAGCTGCAGGTTAATGACGTGGATAAGTTAGAGTGTATTAATGTAGCCAGCTGCAGGTTAATGACGTGGATAAGTTAGAGTGTATTAATGTAGCCAGCTGCAGGTTAATGACGTGGATAAGTTAGAGTGTATTAATGTAGCCAGCTGCAGGTTAATGACGTGGATAAGTTAGAGTGTATTAATGTAGCCAGCTGCAGGTTAACTACCCGGGAGAAAGAGACCACAGTCCTCCAGTCTTGGTAATTACTTTATCAAATGAATGATGATGTTGTGGAGTCGTTCAAGGTTATTTCTTACCTCCCTCTTTATCTTTCCTTGTTTGGTGTTTTTGTCTGTATGTGTTGGAATATTTGTGTGTGTGTGCGTGGTCACCTGTTCGTGGTTGCAAGGGTCGAGTCACGGCTCCTGGTCCCTCTTCGCTGGTCGATACTTGTGTATGTGTGTTCCTGTGAAGACATCTCCTCCTCCTCCAAAGTATTTTTTTTTATTTTATTATTTTATGTTATTATTATCTAAATTATTATAATTATTTTTTATTAACACATCGGTCGTCTCCCACCAAGGCAGGGGGACCCGAAAAATAAAAACTTTTACCATCATTCACTCCATCACTGTCTTGCCAGAAGGGTGCTTTACACTACAGTTTTTAAACTGCAACATTAACACCCCTCCTTCAGAGTGCAGGCACTGTACTTCCCATCTCCAGGACTCAAGTCCGGCCTGCCGGTTTCCCTGAACCCCTTCATAAATGTTACCTTACACTCCTACAGCACATCGTCTTAAAAACCATTTGTCTCCATTCACTCCTATCAAATACGCTCACGCATGCTTGCTGGAAGTCCAAGCCCCTCGCACACAAAACCTCCTTCACCCCCTACCTCCAACATTTCCTAGGCTGACCCCTACCCCGCCTTCCCTCCAGAGATTTATACACTCTCGAAGTCATTCTATTTTGTTCCATTCTCTATACATGTCCGAACCACCTCAACAACCCTTCCTCAGCCGTCTGCGTAATAGTTCTGGTAACCCCACACCTTCTCCTAATTTCCAAACTAGGAATTCTCAGCATTATATTCAAATCACACATGACATCACTGCCTCCAGCCTTCTCCTCGTTGCAACATTCACCACCCATCCTTCACACGTATATAAGAGTGTTGGTATAACACTACTCTCATACATTCACCTCTTTGCTTCCACGGACAAAGTTCTTTGTCCATTCATTATTATAGTTATTATCTATATCATTATTATTTTATTATGTATATTGTTGTCTACATCATAATTATCTTTATTATTTATATATATATATATATATATATATATATATATATATATATATATATATATATATATATATTTTATATGTCGTGCCGAATAGGCAGAACTTGCGATCTTGGCTTAAATATCAACGCTCATCTTGCCATATAGGACAAGTGAAAATTTGTGTATGTAATAATTTCGCCAAAATCATTCTGAACCTAACGAAAAACATATATTTCACTGTGTTTGTTTAGTATTAAATTATTGTAAATAAATCTAAAATATATTTGGTTGGGTTAGGCTAAAATAAATTGTTCTTGTTATAATAAGGTTAGGTAAGTTTTCTAAGATTCTTTTGGTGCAAAATTAAAATTTTTTACATTAACATTAATGAAAAAAAATATATCTTTAAACGTATAAGAGAAAATTTCAGAAAGGACTTAATTTTAAATGAGTTCTTGCTAATTGACCAGTTTTACATATTCGGCACGACATATATATATATATATATAATATATATATATATTATATAATATATTTTATATATATATATATATATATATATATATATTAAAATATATAAACAGTACAACACTGCGACTAGCCAAGGACTCGAACCCATTCTGCTTTGGCCTGCCTCATGGT